TTTTTTTTTTTTTTTTTTGCTTTAGAAATGGTGTATAAATAACTGATGCAGCTTTCCTTTATGTGTATCCTTGGTTTTGGGCTCTTGAGCATTCTGTTTTGCGTCTGCACACCACCACAGTGAAATTAGAATTTTGACTTTGAAGACTTCTTGAATCACAGCTGAAAGTATGCACTTCATTCACATCTTCTTTGTTTGATTCTAAAGTCAACTATGGTGATGAACAGAAGCAAACATTAGATTGTCATTGGACAAATACTAACTGGATTTAGATGCATTTATTAGGAAATGCTATTAAGGTTACTTGGCAAATTGCTCTGCTCTAAACTAATTGTTAAAACAGAACTTCACTCAAAAGTGAAGCAAACTCCACCCCTGCCCTTCTGGACCGGCTGTATCACACAGCAAGCTACATCACTAATCGAGTAATGCCATTAAAAATGGAAAGACTTTTATATAAATGCTTAATTATTATATAAAGACTCTAATCCCAGCAATCTCTGTAGATCTACTTGCAGTCCCAACACACCACAGCCGAGCTGAAGGGCTGGCCCGAGCATCTGGCCCTGCAGATACCGAGCGTGAACAAAGCCAATCTCATGGACTACATCCTCAAGGAACGCACTCTATTTGTGACAGATGATGCCACTTCTTCACTCAGCTCTTTCAGGCTGAAGGACTCACTCCTGACGTCTCAGGGCCAGCTTCTTGAGCTGCTGGATGACGCCGTCACTGCCATGGCAGTCGACTGGATAACACTCAACATTTATTGGAGCAGTTACAAACAGCCCCACCTGCAGGTCACTGCTGTCACAGGCACATACACAGCCATTCTCATAAAGGAGGGGATCAACAGAGTGGGTTCGATTGCTCTTCACCCACCCAGTGGAAGAGTTTGTTTCACGAATATGGATCTGGAGGCTACGGGCAGCACGGCTACAATAGTGTGCGCCAGCATGGATGGTGGTGAGCAAAGAGTGGTGTGGAAGGATGCTGTCCAACCAACATCTTTGGTCTTCTCTAATAATGGGGATAACATTTTCTGGGCTGACACGAGTAAGCTGACACTAGTTTACTTTAGTTTTGTTGTTCCAATAGGTTGTTCTCTTAATGACTTGAGTCAAATGTTCTCAGGTTTGGGGACCATTGGCTCTGTCCTGATTGATGGATCTGGATATACAGAGCTGAAGGTTGATGACGGCCTGGCTGCTGTGGCTGTAAGTGACAACATCCTCCTCTGGATTACAGTCACTGGTAAGAGTCCAAGCATGTACTGTAATAACTGACTATAATTCCTAAAATTCAAATGACATCTTGGCCCGAGCAGCTTTGGTAAATGACTACTTCATAACATGGATAATGGCTCCACAGGAATCAACATCTTTGAGTATAATTTAGTGGTACAACTGACCTTTTTGTTCCTTCAGACAAGACCCAACTCTGGTACAAAGACGCTCAGCAGGATAAGAAATTATGGTTTGAGGTTGGCACACAAGTGGTCGGCTTAAAGGCATTCAGCAAACGGAGTCAGATGGGTATGTAAGAACCACAAACGGAACACCTGGAAAGGCTAACCTGCCCGTTTTAAAGATGTTTCTACATGTCATGTACAAAAAAACCAAACTACCTCATACCTAATTATCTGCTTGATTTCATCAGGCTCTAACCCATGCACAGAAAACAATGGGAACTGTGAGCACTTGTGCCTCGCCACCCCAACAAGTCGCACATGCAAGTGCTCTTATGACCACATCCTTCTGAATGCCACTCAGTGCAGCCCAGAGCAACACTGCCCAGCTGGCAGCAGGCCCTGCCTCGATCACCTCTCATGCCTGCCTGTGGAGAAGTTTTGCGATGGACATGCAGACTGCACGGACCACTCCGATGAGAACTGTGGGACACAAAATTAAAGACTAAAACTGCTCCTGTAGATTGCACCATGGCTAAAACTTTATTTTTTTCCCCCTTTCATAAAGGTGTTTGCACCCAGCAGTGCCCAGGAGCTGAGGTCTTGGCTCCCACTCAACCTCACAGTTCTCCTCCTCCTCCTTCCAGTGTCTCTCCTGTCTCACAAGTCACAGGTCTGAACACAACACTGAATGTCAGCATTCAACGTGTGAACCTGGATGCCCAGCAGTGCAGCCAGAGGCGCTGCAGTGGTAACGGACACTGTGTAGAGACGAAGGGAGTTACTACATGTGTGTGTTCACTGGGCTACAGCGGTGATTCCTGTGAAAACCGGCTCGTGAAAACCATGCAGGGTCCCATTGTCTACGCTGCCGTGGGTCTCTGTGCAGCAGTTGTGATCATTGTTGTAATAGTGCTGGTGAAGAGGAAGAAGAGTGCCAACTTAAGGTTTTTTTTTCTTTATTTAAATCTCAAATTTAACTTTTTCCTTGCTCTCTCTCTCTCTCCGTGGGTTTTGGTGTGGGTGGGCTACAAGACTTGGCAACATTTGTCCCTTTGCAATAGGAGATGGTATCCTTGGGTTGCAGCAATGTTTAGTTTTGTACACCTTACTGGGAAGCATTTGCACACATTAACCTACTGGTGGTTTGATGTGATAATTATTTTACAGCTCTTCTAATAGCAGCTCTAAGACTTGGGCACAGTGGCTATATGGTGTGAAATGCTAGCAACAGAATGCTAACGCTCAGGATGGCATTTATATCAACGTTATTAGATGTGGATTAAAATATTATTACTATATTGATTTTATAACTTGAAATCTGTTTAATTGGAGGTTAGTTCTATTGGCTCTCAATTAAGCATATATAGCAAACAAGGATAGTGGTGATCTGCAAGAACGGATGTCCATTTGTGAAAAATCTGTTTGGATTTGGAATAATCTCAAGCGTGTGGGTTTTAAAATGCCATATCAATCCCTTAGTCGGCACATCTGGTTTCAAAATGGAATAGAATAAGCCTTTATTTTCATTGTACAGTGGTCCCTCATTTATCGCGGGAGTTGAGTTCTAAAAATAGCCCGCGATAGGTGAAATCCGTGAATAAGCCAACTTTATTTTTATTTGTTTTAAGGTCATAAAACCCCCTCACTACACACTTTATACACTTTTCTCAGACAGGCATGAACATTTTCACACTTTGAGAGTATTTAAACAAGAGAGAAAAGTTCATACATTCGTAGAACAATAAGTCCAGTATTATAGAATGAAACCAAAGGCACCCACGGTTGCCTTTGACGCTGCAAAACGTTTTGTCAGAAAACTTGCAAACATACAGTACAGCACTTCCAAGATTTATGAGAATTTGACAAGCTGAACGCATTCTGAACTGTGCAGGAGACGTGGCACGGAGGAGATTGAGAATGGCCTACAGCCGATCAGGACATCGCGCTGTAAAAAAAAAATAAAAAAATAAAAAACATGCAAAATTGCAAAAAAATCACTGAAGCTGGGAAAGGTGGACCACTGTACAATGAAAATGCCAAGATGGTCAAAACAAAAAATGCACATCTTAGGTTTCATATGAGACTTCATAAACAAAGTGGTGATTTCATGATAGCAGGTTCCATTTCTTATATGGTCTGCCCACCTTCCATATACAGTATCTTTGCATTAGGATATTTTCCTGTGACTACAAAGCTAAAACTGGGCGTAACCACTTGGAATGATGTCAACGGGAGTAAAAATGTTTGTCCTGTCCATTTGTCTGCTACTGAACCAATGCAATGTAGTGTTGCTACCATAATATTTGAGAGAAAATCCAACATGGTTTATAAGAAAAGTGAGCAGGCTTCAGTCTCTGGGCCATGAATCTCAGCACAATTTGCATAGTAATTCACTGATTCAATTATCCAGTCTAGACTATGCTGTTACGTTTGGATAATCTAATTTTTGCCAAGTTAGTGTGGTTATGGATGGTGCATCATTTTCATTTAAAAACAAAGTCAGGAACTTGATTCTTATTCAGACTTTTAGCGAAAATAACTTGGTGTCTCTACAGTTTGAGAACAGAGCTTTTCTGCATCACAGAATTAAACATGTTCTTGCTGCAGGGGAACTGGACCATCAGCAGGCAAGGAGATGAGCATGACTGACCTGGAGAGCAAAGCGGAGACCATTCCCACATCCCATACTGCCTCAGCAGAAAAGCCAGAGGTGGACCTCCCTTAAACCAGCAGCTTCCCGTTTTGTTGCTTTGTTGGAAGCCGTATCCTCTGTGGAATCGAGCTGATTTATGAACAAGTGATGTTTTAAATAAACAGTCTGCATTTTCCACAGTTTCCTGTCATGTTATTTCAGGTTGTTTACTGTTAGACCATCATTGTGAAGTTTGACATGAATAAGCATGAACACTTGGATTATAATAGATGGTAAAATGTGAGTGCAAGTCTGACTTTAATGCCTTGTTTTGACTAAAAGACCTTTACAGTTGTGTAAAGGGGGGGACTATTACTTAAACTGAAATAACTACGGTGCAAAAGTCTTGACCCAGCCCTAATTTCACAAGATTTTCCTAGGAACATAGGAAATGGGTGCTGTGACATAATGAAACTTGTGAATGCAAAGGAAAAATGATACGAGGCAAAGACATTGTTTGTAGAATTCTAGCAAACTTAAACGTCAGTATTTGGTGTGACACATGATCATTGTCAAAATCTGACTGTACTTTCCTCATAATTCTGTGGGTTTTTTTTTTTTTTGTTTGTTTTTTTTTGGACAAGCTCTCAAACACTGGCTGAAATGTAGCACGAAACCATGACAGAGCCTCTGTTTTACAAACACTGTTGTACTCTTCTCCTTACTACCAGCATACACATTGACAGCAGTTTGATTTATCACTCATTGATGAATATTGTCAGATTTTCCCTGTCCACTTGTATAATTTGGCATACCTCAGACTTTTCTTCTTTAAAGATTGGCTTCTTTGGTCTTTCACTTTTTTCTCCTCCAGTTCCTTCCATTTTTCATCGTCACACACCATGTTGATTTATGTCCAGTTTCTGGCTAGCAGCTTTTTGTTGCAAAACTACAATGTACGCCTCTCAAACTTTTGTCCTTAGCATTTTATTTTTGTAGATTCAACTAAAGAAATTACTTTTTTGGGGGGGGGGGGCAACAAGCTGTTAGTAACAATGTGCCTTACAATACAACAAAACTGGTATTTTGCTACATTTTCTGTTGTGTAGGTGTTTTCAACTCTTGAATGGCTCGTAGCTAAGGAAACAAAATCTTCTAAAAATGGACAGATACTGAACTAAAATTGAGTGGGGGAAAAGCAGCAAATGGAACTCCTTCAGAAAACCTCGAACTTTTGCTAGAGATCACATTTTAAAAATTACTAGTCTGGCTCACTGTATGCAAAACAAAGAAATGTGGTGGCTTAAGACTACAGAGGACTGTAAATGATCAGAAATGTCACTTTTAAGTGTCATGGCACACAGTTGAAGCTATTATTGTTATCATGATTAATGTTTTATTTAGGTATTTAGGAGACATATGGTTTGTAACACTTGTGGACAGACACTCTGCAAGGCTTTGTAGTCTTCATGGTGATGTCACAATCAGCTAGGAAACAATGAATTGCAGTGATCCTTACTCACCTGAATTGTCTTATTTGACTGTTCTGTAAAACACAGGGAGACAAAACGGTGTCCATATAGAATATGTTGTTTCAGTGTCTGCGGAGACGCTGGATATTTAATTAATACTATGGAACATCAAAACAATCCAAATCACGTTAGTACTTTTGCACTCAGTGCAAACACTATGCATGAAACTTTGTCTAACATTCCTTAGGTATTTTGCATCTATTTAAATTCTAAACCATTGTTTAAACCAATACCACAAAACACATGTTTACTGTGCTTATGAATAGGCACTTCTGGTGGACTTATTCTTCTACAACCATTGTCCTAGAATTTTTAGCGATCTGTCATTTCAGTTTAGCTGGGGGTGTTTGGTGATTTAGCTTTCATGGTTTTAGGAATCAGCACTACAGTGCATAATATATTGCCAGGAACAGGAACCCAATGATGGCCCGGTACCCACACATTTCCACGGCTATATAAAAAGAAGGCCAACCCAGATGTTCTATTGTTTGCTGAGGACTGAGCAGAAGTGAGAATTTACTGTAATCAGTCTGGAGCGTTTCTATGGTGAGGACACTCAACCATTAAGGTAGGTTCTCAATCATAACTTAGCATTTCACTTTACTGAACTTGTTGTAGTTCAAGATGTTGAACAACTTTACTAACATTCAATAATGCATTTAAATTGAATTCTAAAATGTTTACTTGTGTTACTCTTTAATTCCTTCAAATAGTAATAGATTAGTGGATGCAGCAATACCCTCATTTAAAACTTAATGAATTTTATGCTTGAGACAGTTAAAGGCAATGTTAGCAAAGGGTTGACAAATTTAAATGTAAATCAACCCCTCCCCCCAAAAAAGAAAAAAGATCTGTGCCACTACAAACATGATTCCAGAAATGTCTTTTTTAACAATATTTGAGGTGGAAATCATTTTTAACTGAACCAAGAAGAAGGTACTCTGTTTGTCTCTCGATGTACACACTACCAGTTTACCAATATGGTTCTTTTAGTTTGTTTCAGCAAATACAGGAAGGACAGCAATGGCAGTCCTGAGGGCCACCCTCTGCGCTGTCCTCATGGTGACTCTAGTGACAGCTAAACCAGTGAGTAGCTATACTACTTTACTGCTACATTTTCCCACTGTATAGCAAAGATTGGTGGATTTGTGACAGTTTCATTATAAAACAGGTCCATCTGAAAGAAAGTGAGGATTCACCCAAGTCATCAGAGTCCAGTGAATCCAGTTCATCAGAAGAGACCACCACTAATGATAGGTCTTCACAGGAAACCCTGCAGTCAAATACGCCGGATGCTACAGAGAACCCCCTGGATGCAGCACCGCTTCCCTCTGCAGATGCAGGACCTTCTCTGGCCACTTCTCCTGAAGACCCACAAACCTCTGCTGACCCAGATGCTTTACAACTTGTGCCAGATCCGTCTCATACTGCGATGAGCGTTGATGTTTCTTTAGATGTGCCCAATTCTGGTCCCACAAAGGACTCTGTTAACGCTGTTAACCCTACCCACATTCTACCAAACACGCATCCTTCAGGGCTTTCAGAGACTGGTGTAGTCATAGGTACAATTCAACCACAAGTCATTACCACATACCAAGGATCCACCCAGGGTGTCACTCCACCCTTTCCTACATGTGTCATCCAACCAACACCTACAGCCCCACCACTGATACTCCCTATTGGAACAACACTAGATGGTGGTCCTGTCTGTTTCACTTTCCAGGTCACAACTGCTGAGCCAGATCCACCTAGAGGAGACAGCATTTGATCCCCAACAGAACACAGAAATTGTTGTTCATTTAAGTTTGAGTTCAGCCTAGGTGACCAGGACAGACCACACTATGGCTGTACATATACACAACCTTGACTTGATACTTATATAGATGTCCTAACTACACATGGCTTTTACTTTGCCCTCAACCTTGGCAAATGGGGGGGAAAAATGGTGCTAATGTATATGCTGTATATATACAATAAACACATCTAAAGCTGTTGCAATAACAAAAGTACAGTCACAATAAATAAATTAATAAACAGCTGAAAATTAAACTGATTAAATGTTTGTCTCAAATCCGGTGAACTGTTTAGTAAAATGAGTGGTGTTTTTTTTGTTTGTTTTTTTGTTTGTTTGTTTTTTATTTGGTCGATCTTTGTTTTTATTATTTATTATATTTTATTTTCAGATGTTACAGACGGGACAGACATGAGTGAAATAATAACTGTAAAATAATATTCATTTCTTCGGTAAGAAGTGTGTGTTTCTAAAAAAAGCTAAAAAATTCTAAGTTATCGACTGGGAATGAAGAGATTATAAATATATTCGAGAATGCATATAGAGATGGACCCTATCAAAAAATCATTTACAAATTATATTGTTCACTGATCAATCTACGGGATCATGATACAAGATATGTTAAAGGAAGATGGGAAACAGAGAGCAATCTATTCTTAACAGCAGAGGAATGGGACGGGATTTGTAGGCAGCAGTGGTCAGTAACAAGCTCCCCCTCGTGGAGGGAATTCAGCTGGAAGAATGTATTTCGTTATTTTATTACCCCAGCCCAAAAATCCAATTATTCTCAGAACACAACATGCTGGAGGCATTGTGGACATGCAACAGCAAATCATTTTCACATTTTGGAAGGAAATACATAAGGTCATGGAAACAATCTTCCAAAAGAAAATACAATTTCATTTTGCATTATTGTACCTAGGCAACCTAGAGAGTCTTAATCTATGCAAACCGGATAAGTATTTGTTCAGTGTGCTGTCGGTAGCTTGCAAAAAGGCCATAACTCGCCTTTGGATTAAAGAGGATATTCCTACCATAGATGAATGGATTGATGTGATATATAATATTTTTGTTATGGAAAGAATAACTTTTAGGCTAAAGTGCCAGGCGGACAGGCATACTTCTTAGTGAGTTCGTGGAGGGGTTTGGCTATAGAGATTGACAGACCACGTGACTTTCGTGCATTGCATGCCGGTAACTCGTGGCAAAACAATCCAAGTACTGCATCAAATGCAAGCATTTGCAGCACCGCAAAACGTTCATTCTTCGGTTCCAATAAA